ATTATTATTACTCTAATTGCATTACTATTTTTATAACCATTTTATTACTATTAAACTTTTAAATTTTTAAAAAACGAGCGACTGGCGTTTTTCACAGCTGCCAAAGCTCTTTGTTTGGGGTCGTGGCCCCCCAGCCGGCCCAGGAGGAGGTGCTGGGTGCCGAGGCACACGCTGCTGCCTCCCGCGAGGGCTGAGGTAATCCTGGGTAATTCCTGACTTCCATGGAAATGCCTCCGGGCCGAGATGATTATCGCTGTAATTAGCCTCTCTGATTTTTCTTGGTGTTCTATAAAATATTAATTTACAGCTGGATCCTTGCCGCCTTTGTGTGCCGGCTGGAGCAGAGCAGCTCTGGCACCTCGTGCCGAGGTCCCGTGGGGTTACGTGGGGCAGTGGTTGGGGCTGGTGGGGCTGGGCAGGAACTTCCACTTCCCCACAGGAACGTGCCCTTGGAGCTCCTATTTCAAAGGCAATATGGAAAACCGGTGAGGCATGCTCAGAAAATTCCCTCCACACCTCTGCAGCTGGTGAGCAGGCAGCTGAGTGGCTGCAGAAGCTCTTTAATACAACAGAGATCCATCCTGGTCCTCTGTTTGGGCCAGAAACATTGATTTTGCTCAGCAGCAGGCACCTGAGTCGCTGCAGAAGCCTTTAATACAACATAGATCCACCCTGCTCCTCTGTTTGGGCCAGAAACAGTGGTTTTGCTCAGCTGCATGAAAAATCGGGTAGGGCAGCAATGTCTGAGCAGCACCATGTTCCCCACCCAGCCTGGAGCCACTGGAGTGGATGCAGTGCTGTGATTCCCACTGCCAAAATGAAGCCAAGTGTGGGGTTTGGTGGCACAAACTCCCTCGGAGCTCCTATTTCAAAGGAAATATGGAAAACTGGTGAGGCACACTCAGAAAATGCCCTCCACACCTCCTCAGCTAGATGGTTGAAGGTGAGCAGGCAGCTGAGTGGCTGCAGAAGCCCTTTAGTACAACAAAGATCCACCCTGGTCCTCTGTTTGGGTCAGAAACAGTGGTTTTGCTCAGCTGCATGAAACATCAGGTAGGGCAGCAGAGTCTGAGCAGCACCATGTTCCCCACCCAGCCTGGAGCCACTGGAGTGGACGCAGTGCTGTGATTTCCACTGCCAAAATGAAGCAAAATGTGGGGTTTGGTGGCATGAGCTCCCTTGGAGCTCCTGTTTCAAAGGGAATACGGAAAACCAGTGAGGCACGCTCAGAAAATGCCCTCCACACCACTGCAGCTGGATGGTTGAAGGTGATCAGGCAGCTGAGTGGCTCCAGAAGCCTTTTAGTACAAGATAGTTCCACCCTGGTCCTCTGTTTGGGCCAGAAACAGTGGTTTTGCTCTGCTGTATGAAAAATCAGGTAGGGCAGCAGTGTCTGAGCAGTATCATGTTCCCCCTCCAGCCTGGAGCCGCTGGAGTGGACACAGTGCTCACAGTGCTGTGATTTCCACTGACAAAATGAAGCCAAATGTGGGGTTTGGTTGCACATGGCTCCCTGAATGCCCACTGCTCACACCAGCACTTCCAAGCTGCCTCATTTTTCAGCCAAACTAAGTAGAATCTACTTCAATCTCAGCAAAAAGGTGGAAAATGCCACCTGTGATATTTTTGATCCCAAACTTTGGGAAGACCAGGCAGAGGAAGGATGTTACAGTGTGCTGGTCCCTGCCTTCTCCCTGAAAGCAGCTTAGGGTCCAGACTGCATTCCAGCATCCCTGCCAGGGAGGGAGTTCTGCCATGTCCCTAGGGCTGCTCCTTTTAGCTCTGGGACAGTCTCTGCCAGGCCAGATGCAGCAGCCGTCTTAGCTACAGCCCCACTGTAAAGAAAGGAGCACTGCTAATGACAGGAAGGGGTTGTGCCCAGCATGTGAATGTCTCTGCAGAGAGCTTCTCACCACTAGAGATGTTTGCCCAGAGCTTTTGGCCCTGCAGCAGGTGCTGTCAGTGAGGTTTTGTCCTCAGGACAGCCCTACATGTTCCTGATCCTTTGAGAGGCTGCCTAGAACAGAGTTAAAGGAATAAAGCAGGGATTTATTAAAAGGCCTTCACAGGATACACCTTGGGCAATGCAAGAGTATGGCCATGGCTACACCCAAGCTGGATGAGGGTCACGAATTCTCACACTTTTATCAGTTTTGGTCCATTTCCATATTGGGGTTAATTGTCCAATTCCAGCTCCAGGTGATGCAGTCCCATCCTCCCAGTTTGCTCTCCTCAATTCTCTGTTGTTTGCACTTTCTGGGCCTGAGGCTGCTGTGGTGTCCTTGGTTTTGGGGCTGGAAAAGGATTGTTTTGTCTGACTGAGCTGTGAGGAGAACTTGCTGACACTTTATATGGAGTTCAGGGTTATGAACTAGTCCAGTACAGAATCTGGAAAATATGAAAGCTGAAACTTCCGGCATCATCCCCCTGTCACTAAAACCAAGCCAGGTTACAAAGCCACAGGGGATTTGTGTTCTCCACAAAAGGCCACGTCCCCTCACAGCACTTCCCAAGCTATTTGCACAGATATTTCCATTCCTCCTCCCCTTCTGCACCACCAGGCACACACTGAGCAGAGCAGGAGCCAATCCCTCTGGCAGGGCTCTGGCACCAGGGCTGGAGCCAGGCACACACTGCTCATCAGCTGTGCCATGAGGAGCTCCCTGCCAGCTCTCCAGGGATGCCAGATGTGCATCTGGAGAGCCTGGAGGTGCTGCTACCATCCCCTGCACCCCTCACCAAGCTGGCAGCTCAGGGCTTTGAGGGGAACCATGTGGCACACTCAGAAGGGTGTTTTAGCGTGGAGTTCAACCAGGGAAGAGCAGCTTTATCTGGTTTTCCTCAGTGTTTCTTTCATCTTGTGGTTATGAAGCTGCAGAGCCTCTGGGTGGGATGCTCTGTGTTCTTACACAGGCAGAGCTGCTCCTGCCTGGATTTCCCAGAGCTGTTCCTGCCTGGATTTCCCAGAGCTTCCCAGGCTGCATCTCCCTCCTTGATGAAATCAATTGTCTCACCCAGTCCAGACTTTTAACCCCGCTTTTTCAGCCCCTCCTGTGATTTTACTCCTCAGTCTCACTGGTCCAGTCCAGCCCAGTGATGCCTGGGCCAAAAAATTCTCCGTCCAGGCACCATGCAGCCAACATCCAGGGGAGATGCTGCTCCCTGGGGTTTGTGTCTGGCCCGAGGTCCAAGGAGAATTAACCTCCTGTTTCCCCCCTCTGAGAGCCTTCTGCAGCTCCAGAGGGAAGAAATCTCCGTAGCATGGTTGGTGTTTTCTATGGCAAAGGGCTCTCCCGCACCTCTCACTGCTGTTTTTCATCCAGCCTTGCTTTGCTGCTGTGGAGAATTAATATTTTGGGGAGCAGCTTCCCTGTCCAGCACCCGGGCCCCCTAATTTCTCGGCTTACAGGGGCTTAACAAAATAAAACCAGCAGGCCGGGAACCTGAGCAGCCTTTCTGGTGATGTGGAAATTAAAATTTAGCTGCTCCTTGCGTCGGCAGAGGGCAGTGGAAGATGCTTCCAAACCTGCCAAGCCTCCCCCGGCCGCGCTGCGGAGATGGGGATCCGGGGAGGAGACTCCACGGGAGAGGAAGGGAAATCACAATGCAGTTCCTCCAGCAGCGGGGCTGCCCTGGGCTCGGGAGCCCACCGGCCGCGGGGATTTGGGCTCCTCCATCGGAGGGGAGGCGAGGGAGAGGAGCAGAGCGCGCATCCCTCCCGCCCGGCTCTCGCCATCGCTGCTCGGCGCCGCTGCTCCTCATCCTCTGCCCGGGAGGAAGCGGATGGCGATGGAGCTGGCAGGGATTTGCCGGCGGGAGCAGGCGGGAAGGCCGGGCACAGGTTTTTTCTGGCTGTGGCCGTGTCCCACAGGGGTTCTCCGAGCTCGGCGAGCCGCTCACGTACACAAAACCCTTCCCAAGCCTCAGCCCCTGGCCGGGCGCTGCTCTCCGGCTTCGGGAGAGGCAGGAGATGGTGCGGCCCTGCCGCCGCCTCCCTGCCGGCTCCGCACCCTGCCCTGTAATTAATATCCCTGGAGGTAAAGAAAGAGCAGCGCGAGGTTGGGATGTATTATTTTACTCTGATAGGAATCTGACACTGACACAGCCATTAGGGAAAAGAAAGAATAATAACTCAGACTTGGCATATATGAAAGCGTAAATACCTTCAGCGTGTGAAAAGACAGGCTTTAATATATTGGTGGGTTTGTAATTATTTATTGAAAGAAGGGGAAAGGCAGAGCTTGGTGCAAAACAAGGCAGAGGCGAGGGAACAGCTCCCGAAATCACTGGGGTTGGGTGGTCGCGGCTCTTCCTCCCGGAGAAGGCGGCGTGGGGTGACCCGGGGCCCTGGGGACAGCCCGGCAGCTGGGGGATCTCGGCGGCTCCCCGGGAAGCAGCCGGGCCGGTGTCACACAAACACTCCCCGAACTTTTCGGGGTCGGGCACGCCAAAACCCCCCAGAGCCGCCGGGCGTGGAGGGAAAGGCGTCCCCCGGCCGGTGTTTGCCACCTGCTCGGGCGGCTCCGGGGGCTCGGCTGCGGGCCGGAGGGAGCGGCAGCATCCCCGCCGGCCCCGGGATGTCCCGCAGCGGGGCACCGTGCGGGGCCGGGGGGCGCCGGGGGCTCCCCCATCGCTCCCCACCGCTCCCCACCGCTGCCCACCGCTGCCCGGCGCCCCCCAGCCTCCTCGGGCCCGCGGGGGCGGCGCTGGCGGGGGCCCGCCCCGGGCCGGGCCCGCCGCAGGATGCGGCGCTGGCGGGGGCGGGCGGCGCTCGGCGGGCGATGCGGGGCCGCGGCCGGGCCCGGGGCCGCCTTTGAGCGCCGCGGGGGGACGGGAGGGGGGCGCGGGCGGGCGGGCGGCCCCCGCCGCAGGTAGGGACGCGGGGGCCGAGCGGCGCGATGGAGGAGGAGGAGGAGGATGGAGGCGGCGGAGGGGAGGCGGGGAGTGAGGCTGCGGCAGGAGGGGGCGGGCGGGGGGGCCGGCCGGGGGGGGCGGCGGGCATGTGGGACCGGCTGCGGGGCAGTCGGGCGGCGGGCGGCGGCCGGAGCGCGGCCGCGATGGCGCAACGCGACGAGAAGGTGCCGGCGGCGGCGGCGGGCGAGAGCGAGCCCGGGGCCGGGGCTGGGGCCGGGGATGGGGCCGGAGCTGGGGCCGGGGCCGCGGCCGAGCGGGGACAGAGCGGGGCCGCCGCGCCCTTCCAGCCCCCCGAGGGCGGCTTCGGCTGGGTGGTGGTCTTCGCCGCCGCCTGGTGCAACGGCTCCATCTTCGGCATCCACAACTCCTTCGGGATCCTCTACATGATGCTGCAGAGCGACCTGGGCGAGGGGGAGAAGGATCCGGCGCTAGAGTTTAAAACAGGTATGGGCTCCGCGGCCCCTTCCCGGTCGGGCAGTGCGTGCGGGGGTGCCCGAGCGGAGCGGGGATGCCCCAGCCGAGCGGGCAAAGGTGCGGCGGCGCGGCCGGAGCTGGAAGCTCCTTCTCGGCTGTGTGGAACCTCGATTGCTCCCTGCCCCCTCTATCCTCGTAGCCGTGGCTATATTTATCTCCCACAGCATCATGTGTTTCTAAGCTCCGATGTACTCAATTAAAAGTAATTCGGCTGAAAACACGCCCTTAGCTTGTCCTGCCGGTGTGTCTTGGGGTAAAGCAGAGCAGCGCTGGTGAATCAGCTGCTGGGTGTGCGCCACCCCTCTAGTTTTCTTTATTATTGTTCCATTTTTATGGGTTTTTCAAGCCGCCTTGTTGGCCGGGGTGGCTCCAGGAGAGCATCTGCCCGGCTGCCGCGCTCCCCCGAGCCGTGCCCATTCAGCGTCGCGGCCGGCACCGGGCAGGGCTGGCAGCGCCACCTGCGCCGTCACTCCGAGGGCAGCGCGGGGGCTCCAGCGCTGCACATCCCTGAAAAGCAGGATCCATGGGCTGCACCCAGCTGGGTGTTTTGGTAGGACGGACAGGCCCGGCCAGGGTGCAGACTGGGTAGGGTTAATATGGAAAAAAGGGATGTTCCTTGCTGCCAAGACCCTGCTGTTGAAGTAGACTTGGCAGGGGGACACCAGGCTGCCGGCGTGGTGGTCCCAGCTGGACACTGATGTTGGGAGGCCCAGCCTTGTCCAGGTCCTGCTGTCCCCTTGGATGATCACATCCATCCTGGTGATGGACACGCGTGGCCCTCCTCGCCCTCATCTCCAGGTGGGGACGGGCACTTGGTGCTGAGGGGACCTGACTGAGGTGCTGCCCTGGCCCTGGGTGGGGCAGGAGCCAGGAGCGTGCTGGGCAGCGCTGGGTGCCGGGGCTGTGCGAGCCCCTCCGAGCCCGTTTGGGACCAGCGCTGCCCGCGCTCCCTCCCTGGGCTGGCGCACGGCCGGCGAGCGCGGCGGGGAGCGCGCCAGGATGAAATTCATTACGGGATCCACCACATGTAGAATCCCAAATTAACTCCCTGATACTCTTACCAGGGAAACGATGGGACCGTGTAATTACGGGCACTAACGGAGTGCCACAGCGAGCTGCGGACGTGTGGCCAGCTGTAATTAGGGTGATTGATGGGCTGGGAGTGTGTGTGTGTTGTGTGTGTGTGCATGTGATGCCCAGGAAGCTCATAGTGTAGCTCTGCGTTTCCTGCTGCCTGTGATTGTATCTAGAAAGCCTAAGGCAGGGCTCTAGAGGTAGAAGCGGTAACAAAAGAAATTAAATACTGCAAGTTCTGGTGGTTTAAAGGCTCTGTGCCCAAGACAGAGGTTGTAGGAGTCAGCATCTGCCTCTTGCTCCTGCCATCTATTTATTTAAGGCTATGACCGCACAGAGGCCTCGAAACAGAAAGGCGTGTGGGTGTGCGAGGTGAACCCAGGCTGGGTAATTAAATTGCCTGGCTGACGAATATCTGCATTTGGTCTGGGCGCTTAATGAAGAGGCCATTAATGACTGAGGTCGTGGTGGTGCCGCGTTGGATCCGTGTGCGGCACCTCCGGGGCTGCAGCTGCCGGGGCTGGGGCTGAGGGCAGCGGGGCGCAGCCCGGAGCCCCCTCCAGCCCTTCCTCCCTCGCTCCCACCCCTCCCCGCTCTGCATTGCATAATTTCCCCGCGGCGCTCGTTTGCGTGCAAACATAATCAGGAAAATATCGTAGCTCCTTTCCAAGCGCTAAGTGATGTGGCCTTCCTGAAAAGACCGGTGCTGTCTGTTTGTCCTGCAGCGTCGCTCTGGGCCCGCCAGCTGCAGGCAGCAGCCGGACCCCAGGGCGCCCCTCATCCCCATCCAACAGGGAGCAGGTTGGGAGGATGAGGATCCGCTCTCCGCTCCAGCAGCACATCCAGTATGGCTGTGGGCACGGCTCAGCCTTTTGTCTGCGCTCTCAAACCTCCTCCAGCTCTCAGGGAGGTGGGTTTCTATCAAACAGGGGGTTTGGAGGCAAAATGGGGAGAAATGCTGTCAGCTGGTCAGGCATCCCTTTAAAAATAGGGTTCTGTTTATGCTGAACGGGTGCTAGTCGGCACTAAACAATAGCCGCCCCGGCTATAATTATCAAGGTTTATTTCTTGTTTGCATTGGTCACGTTTTCTCGCGTTTGATCTTGAGAAACGCAGGATCCGTGGAGTTCAGGTCTGGGGTCAGGCTTTGAAAACAAACCCCGTGGCAGCAATGCATCGAATGCATAGGCTGCTGTCTTTAAAGAAATATACTGTGCTGCCTATGTCAACAAGCACGGCGGGCTGGGGCGGGCGGTGCTGCGCCCACCGCGTGCCCCTGCCCGCGGGACGCCAGAGGGGCCTCGGCGAGGCCAGAGCTCTGTGCTCTGCCTTTGTTTTCTTGAGGGGGGAGCGGAGGAATGCTGGGACCGGAATAAAATAAATAATATACATGTGAGCACTCGGCCAGGGGAAAAAAAAATGCAGCTTTGCTGGAGAGGTGTTGAGTGATGCTTGAGGGTGTTTGTGGGAGAGGAGCGAGCGGTGACGTTGGCCTCCGGTTGTGCAGGGCTCGTTCCGGTGCTGAGGGATCCACGGATCTGTGGCTGTCCCAGTGCTGGTCCCACAGTGAGGGCTGACACTGAGCCAAGGGCCAGAGGAGACAGCCCAGCACCTTCATCTTCCTCAGCTCCAGAGTGGCAGCACGGTCCTGGTGAGCATTGGCTGGGTGTGAACCTTCTCGGTATCTGCTCTGCCTCTGCTGGGATGTGCCACAGCCTTGGAAGGGGGACCACAAAGTGACCTTGTACCTGAGCAGGGCTGTGCCCCAGCCAAGGAGCCACCTGAGGGTCCTAGAGGGAGCTCCAGCTGCCTGGGCAGAGCCAGGAGAGTGACATTTCTTGGTGCTTCTTGTTCCTCCAAGCACATCCTTGGTGCTTCTCATTCCTCCAAACACATCCTTGGTGCTTCTCATTCCTCCAAACACATCCTTGGTGCTTCTCGTTTCTCCAAACACATCCTTGGTGCTTCTTGTTCCTCCAAGCACATCCTTGGTGCTGTACCTGAGGTCTGGAAAGCCCCAGTGGATCAGCCTGCAGAGGCACACAGATTTTGGTTTTTTTTTTTAAAGAAGGTCTATTTATCTTCTCCCCTCCTCTGCTTTGTGTCAATATCCCAGGTATAGATTAACTCTCTTTGCTTAATGTTTAATGTTTTGGGGCCTGGAAATGGAACTGAAAGCTTTTGGAGAGATGGCCTGAGGAGCTGGTTGGGTTTGGCTGCAGCTGCTCTGAGTCCATCTCTGTGTGTCCATCAGCATCCTCTGATCTGTGTGCAAGAACTTGGGGAACAGCTTCCCCCCTTTAGCCCAGCTCCAGACAGGGAGCAGAGGCTGCTGGAGCTCCCTGTGCTTAGGGAAGCTGGAATGGAGAATGGACCACAGCCCCTGAGTGACCACATCCTGAGGCCAAGGCAGGGCTGATGTCACCTTTATTCCTGAATCCCCACCTCTTTTGCTGGGGGATTTCTTTGTGCTGCTTTCACATCCTCAGGACAGGTGAGCACAGGTGGAAAAGGCCGTTTTTACTCCAGCGTTGTAATGAAGGCTTGGTAAGAGAGAACAAGGCGGGTTTTTTTTGAAAATAAAGCATTTCAGCGCTAACAGTCATGTGAAAGAGGGGGAGGAGAAGCCCTGCACTCCTCTCTGGGCTGAAGAAGATTCTGTGGGTGGGTGAGTGTGGCTGGAGCTTTAGGAGCTGGGAAGAGAAATCCCAATGTAAGAAATCCCAATTCTGTAAATCACAGAATGCTATGGAAGAGACCTTAAAAATCACCACATTTTAACCCCTGCCACGGCAGGGACACCTTCCCCTGTCCCAGGCTGCTCCAGCCCCAGTGTCCAGCCTGGCCTTGGGCACTGCCAGGGATCCAGGGGCAGCCACAGCTGCTCTGGGCACCCTGTGCCAGGGCCTGCCCACCCTCACAGGGAACAATTCCCAATTCCCAATATCCCATCCATCCCTGCCCTCTGGCAGTGGGAGCCATTCCCTGTGTCCTGTCCCTGTCCAGCTCCCTTGAAGCCCCTTTAGAGAAGGGGGAGAATCTCCTCCCTCAAGCTGTTGGCCGTGTTGCTTTGATTGCAAGAGGTAATCCTTGGAAATGATCCCATCTAAATTGGGGTGATGGGGTCATTGTCCATTGCTGGCCTTTTGCAGGCTCCCATCTCCTGAAGGTGACACTGTGGTTGTCACCTTCTTACCCAAACCTGCAGGATTTGGAGCTGTTACCAATTACCAGGGTGCTGCTCTGGCCCCATTTCTCAGCTTTGTTGGCCAAGGGTGCTGTGGAGCTCAGCATTCCTGGGGCCTTTCCCGTGTCCATCCGGGCTCCCAACCCTCCTCTCACCCCACACGGGGATGCACTGACATGAGCAATATTTATGTAGCCCAGATGGGGATGTAAATCCAGCAAAAAGAGATAAAAAAGACATTTTTATTACCTTGCCCTGCAAGCTGGGGAGTACAAAGGGCAGCACAGATTCGCTGGGGGTTTCCCAGGGTGGGATGCCAGCACCAGGCTCTGCCCCAGCCTCTGTTTTGGGAGCTGGAGTTTGTGACTGCAGGGAAGCAGGGGGGGAATTTTGGAGGAACTGGGGTTTTGCCTGAGCTGGTTGCAAGGTGCTGTGTGAGATAAAGCAGCCTGAAAAGCAAACAAAGCCCAGTAATGTTGTTAAACCTGGTTCTTGGGGCTGTCGGGAGCGATTAAGGTTATTAGGAGGCCGGAGTGCTGTTTCTAAGGGAGGTTCTTGTTTTTCAAGACTGCAGGGGCCCTCTCAGCCAGCACATTTGCCATTTTAGTGGTTTTTAATTTACTTTTAAGTGTCCTCCACCAGCCAGCCAAGAAGATGTGAGGCTGTGTTTCCTGGTGGCCATTGTCCTTGGGTGGTGGCAGCTGCTGTG